TGGTCCCGCCGCCGTGCGATTCCCCGTGGGGACCACGACCTTCGCGCAGCGCTGCTTCCCCCCGACGGTTTCGCTTTCAGTTCCCGTTTTTGGAGAACACTTTCCTTGCATCCGGGCTTTCCAAGGCTCATCGCTGAAGACTCTCCTTGGATGGGAAAGGTTTGGGGGACTATTGGGTAGAGAATTTACCAAAAAGTTTCCCCTTTCTCGCCGGGACGATTTCATTGCTCAGCGCGCGGTTTCCTGCCGCCCCCCCCCCCCCCCCCCCGCGTGTCTGGCCCGCGGCAGGCCCCTCGGGTGTCTCTTCCCTAAGATCCCGGCCTGGAGTTTTCTCCCTTCCTGCCTAGGCTCCTTGGATTTGGAGGTGTCGTGGCAACATTTTGGCAACTGTGTCGTTCTAGCTTCGTGAATGAGATACATGGGGTTGGAGAGGATACATCGGGGCTTTAAAGGGATGCACTTGTGCTTTTGGCTCTTTAACAAACAACACACATCTGGACACCAAAACAAGGGCCTGTCAGTGTAACGGGTCTCAAAGGGTCTCAAAGGCCAGGTCTGGTATTTAGGGTTCGTTTGGGGGGTTCTCCCAGGGCAGTGGCTTCTGGTTCCCCTCCTGGATCTGAGAACAGAAATTTGTTGGCACTCAGCTCGGCGGTGGCTGAGCAGCTGGAAGAGGCATCAGCGTCAGTGGTCCTGTGGTTTTGTTTGTGTTTTTTTAAAATGTTTTTTTTAGAGAGAGAGGAATAGAGAAATAGAAACATCGATGAGAGGAACATCATTGATTGGCTGCCTCCTACACACCCCCAACTGGGGACCCAGCCCACAACCTGGGCCTGTGCCCTGAACAGGAATCAACCCGGCGACCTTTTGGTTCCAGGGTCAGCCGTGGAGCGAGCCCCACAGGCAGGCAGCCCTGTGCGTGTGAAGATGGTGTTCTCTTGGCTCTTCCTGACCCCCAGGTCATTGCAGATCACAGTAGCTGTGACCCTCACCTGCCACGCTGCCCGTGTGATTATTCCCTCCCCCAGGAGTGAAGTGACGCGGGAGGCAGGGAGGCTGCGAGTGGAGCTGCTTTTTCAGTCACTTGCAGCCCATTCCTCAGCATCAGGATAGAGGAAGCTGACTGTCCCCTGCAGAAATGGGGTTATGTTCCTGGCTGTGTCTTCATGGAGCCTAAGTTTTAATATGGGGGCTGTTCAGTTTCCTAGAGTCACTGCAAACTCCTGATTTCTGCCAGGACTTAACACTCAGGCCAGTGAGGCAGGAGATACGAAGACTTCCAAAGAAGGGCCCGTTCCTTGGATGTGCCGCCTCACAGAGAGATGAAGGGGTGAGTGAAGACGAGGTGGAGGTGGGGTGGGGGATGGGAGGCCTGGGAGCAGGTGCTGCCTCTGGAGTCAGGCAGACCTCGATTCAGGTCCCAGCTCCCGAGTCACTTGCTGGCTGTGTGTGATTGGGTTTCCTGTCTATAAAACGCAAGCACTGCTGCCCGCCTCATAGTGCTGTTCTTAGCATGAGATGGGTGCTGCCTGCTCAGTGCCAGCTCAGTGTCTGTACATAAGAAACAGCAAATTCCAATCTAGCCTAGTGTCTGTTGGGAATGCCAGTGAGTTTCGGCCCATATGTTCCTGAGCCAGTGAGCTTTCCATGCACTTCTTCCCTTATCCTAACCCTTTGTCCCTTCACAAACAGGCAGCAGAAAACAGCTGAGACGGAAGAGGGGACAGTGCAGATCCAGGAAGGTGAGTGGCAGAAAGAGAAGTGAGTGGGACCAAGAGCCCATCATGGCCTTTCCCTCCCCTGTGGCGTCTGTGCGCCTTTTCCTCTGACAACAGGCAAGTGAAATGGGGAGGAAGGCAGCAGCACTTAGAGTCTTCCTTGCTCCTTGAATTCAGGTGCAGTGGCAACTGGGGAGGACCCAACCAGTGTGGCTATTGCCAGCATCCAGTCATCTGCCACCTTCCCTGACCCCAACGTCAAGTACGTCTTCCGAACTGAGAATGGGGGCCAGGTAAAGGAGGGGGCCAGGTGGCTGCAGGTGTTACCTGGGTTGGGATAGAGGGAGGTAACTGAGCCTATCATGTGGAGACCTGGCTTGGAGGATGAGGTGAAGATGTGGACTGTTGGGGGGTTGGATTTGGAATAGAGGTAGGTATGGAGTAGGGCCATTTTGAAACCTCCATATGGGGATAGACAGGGGAGCGGCTGGGTTGCAGCTCTGAAGGACTCTTGGGGCCCTGTCTAGGAGAAACTTTGCGAGGGGCCCTGGAGCCCTAGCACTTACTCTCTTGTCCTCTCTTCTCCTCCTTCCCCTTTCCTCCCTGCTTCTAGGTGATGTACAGGGTGATCCAGGTGTCTGAAGGGCAGCTGGATGGCCAGACCGAGGGGACTGGTGCCATCAGTGGCTACCCTGCTACTCAGTCCATGACCCAGGTACGGGAGGGGAGGGGGGACTAGGACTCTGCAGAGGGAGATGAGGCAGGGAAGGTGTGGGATGGGGAGGCCAGGGGTGGCGAGGCATCTTGCTCCCTGTCCCCAGACACTCTGGACCCTCCCCCCTTCCCTCAGGGTTAGCAGCAGCAGAGAGTTCCCTGGGGAGGATCTGATGGTCACTGTCCTCTTGGTGTCCTTCTAGGCGGTGATCCAGGGTGCGTTCACCAGTGACGATGCAGTTGACACAGAGGGGACGGCCGCTGAGACACACTATGCTTACTTCCCTGGCACTGCTGTGGGCGATGGGGCGGCAGGGACCACGGCAGGGAGTGCAGCAGCTGTTGTCACCACCCAGGGCTCGGAGGCACTGCTGGGACAGGCCACCCCTCCTGGCACCGGTGAGATGCTGTGTGAGGGGCTGGTTGCAGGGCAGGAGGGGCGGTGGGACATGCTGGGCAGTTGTCCCTGAGGGCTAGGCAGGCAGGGAGTGTGGGACCCCCCTCAGCAGGAGGAAGTTTGTCCTCTTTGATTGTTTGTTTGTTTATTGTCTTTTTCTGCCCTTTTTATTTTTACTTACTATTTAAAAATATTTTTTTATTGATTTCAGAGAGGAAGGGAGAGGGAGAGAGACAGAAGAGAGACATATCAATGATGAGAGAGAATCATTGATTGGCTGCCTCCTGCATACCCCCTCCTCCTGGGGATTAAACCCAAAACCCAGGCATGTGCCCTGACCTGGAATCAAACTGATCTCATGGTTTATAGATTAACGCTCAACCACTGAGCCACACTGGCCGACAGAAATCTGCCGTTTTTTAGAGGAGGGTCCCAGGGCCTTGACCTCAGAGCTCACTGAGGTTCCTAGTCCCATGTGCTAACGACCTACCCGGACCCTCCCAGGTCAGTTCTTCGTGATGATGTCACCACAGGAAGTGCTGCCGGGAGGAAGCCAGCGCTCCATTGCCCCCAGGACCCACCCTTACTCCCCGTGAGTAACCCTGTTCCTTCTCAGTTACCACAAGTGCCAGATCTTGTGTGATTCCTACCCCAAGTGCCAATCTGACTTTTTGACCTTCATCACTTGGCTGCCCTGGGCTCCATGGTCAGGAAGTCAGAAGCTCCCCGGACGACGCGGGATGAAAAACGCAGGGCTCAGCATAATGAAGGTGGGTGCGCTCGGGGGCGACGCTAGGAGCTGTCTGGTGGGATTGCGGACAGCTGTGGTGTGTGAGGGGAAAGTCAGCTAACTTCCTGGGCCTGTGGCGAGCGCAGGCTGAGTGACCTTGTCCTCACTGTTCCCACAGTGGAGCGGCGCCGCCGGGACAAGATCAACAACTGGATCGTGCAGCTGTCCAAGATCATTCCAGACTGCTCCATGGAGAGCACGAAGTCAGGCCAGGTCAGGGGCCTGGGCGGCAGGCACCTGTGTCCCGGGGCTGCACACAGCAGTCACCCTTTCTTCTGAGGGTTCTTAGGGGAAAGTAAGGCCGAGAGAGTGAACTGCTTTGGAAAGCAAGCGGGTATCTTGTAGTCCAGCCCTCATTCTGTTGGTCTTTCCTACAGAGTAAAGGGGGGATTCTCTCCAAAGCCTGCGATTACATCCAGGAGCTGCGGCAGAGCAATCACCGGTTGTCTGAGGAGCTGCAAGGGCTGGACCAGCTGCAGCTGGACAACGAAGTGCTTCGCCAGCAGGTCAGCTTCCTGTCCCAGTGAGCCCTCTCGGACCCCGAAGCCACTGAGCCCTGTTGGGACTCTACCCTTCATTTTCCATAGACAGGCTTCGTCTTTTCCCCTTCACCAGCGGATGTCGGAATAAGTTCAGGGACTTCCTGTTCCCTTTATGCCTCCTTCTCCTGTCAGGTGGAAGACCTCAAGAACAAGAACCTGCTGCTCCGCGCCCAGCTGCGGCACCATGGGGTGGAGGTGGTCATCAAGAATGACAGCAGCTGACTTGGGTCCCTGTGGTGGAGCGGCAGGAAGCCTGGAGCAGCAGGCTCCCCGTGCCGTTCCTTCCCTGCCCATTTCTGGCACGAGACTGGGAGGTTCAGAGGGTGTGTCGGGTAGCAGCCTGCAGGGTGTGAAACACGGAGGAACACTGGCTGACAGCCTGGTGCACACTCGGTGTCCGTGCGGATGCTGGACACACCCAGTGGGCCTGCCTGGTGCCTGCTGATGTGACGCCTGGCTGCCCGGGACCCGGGGCTTTCGGTCCCCCCTTCCCTGGAGCTCGGGGTGCACCTGAGGACGCCAGGGGACAGGCTTCAGCAAGACGAGGGGGAGGAGCAGTGGCCGCTGCCGCAGAAGGTTGGGCAGCAGCTGAGACTGACGCAGACGTCCAGGGAGAACCATAGGCAGGGCCCACGTGGGCTTTGCCCCTTGTGGGGACGGTTCCCCCCTTTTTTTTCAAACATAAAATGTTCAGAGCCGCAGTCAACTCCTGTTCGTCCTTTTGTGGGCCCCAGGACGGAAGGGAGGGGCACGCTGCGCCTTGACCAGTGAGGCCTGGGCGGGGACTGGGGTGGGTGCTGCTGCTGGCTTAGGAGTCCAGCTCAGACCTGGGCCAGACCCGCGGGTTTCTAGGGCAGGTGCCCAGGGGCGGGGCGGGAGGCGGCGCCTC